AACCTGTATTCAGGGTGAAGATCAGGGATTTCAGAGATGTTAGAAAAAGGGAGATGGCGAAGGAAGAAAGTGCTTTCCCAATCCAAATCATTGATTTCGGACTGTACGGCCTCAAGTCCTTTAGCGGCCACCATTTCCTTAAACCTCTGCTCCATACATTTTGTGTAGTGCTCTTTTGTTAGCCTCTCAACTCTGTCCATAAACTCTGGAGAAATCCCATGACTAACCACCTGCAATTATAATAAACCACAGTTAATTAACTGTGTTAGTACAAATCATTATCCCAAAAAAAAAGTTACTCTCAATTGAAAGACTACACGTACCTCAAAGAAACCCCAGTTTTGACAGGCATCTTCGATTTTCGCCATTGTTGCGGGCCTTTCTTCGCCGTTGAGTTTCTCCATGTTGATCACCGGAAAAGTTGCCATTTTTATTTTTAACACGAATTTGTGTGAGAGAGAGAAAGAAGGAAGTAACTAAGTAGACTTGTTTGTTTTGTGTAATAAAATGGAATTTTGCTTTGTGCACATAAAAGCTGATCTCAAGAGGGGTATTTATAGGCGGGGGACGGGGTAAGGTTCCTGGCTCTGATCATGACGTGTAATTTATTTAATGTTAAACCATGATTTCTTATTCCCATAATTAATCATTTATTATTTGAATAAACATTTGTCGACCATGTTTGATCGTTCAAAATTTTCTATATATTGATTAATCTTTGAGTGCAAACTTTTGACTGGACTATTTATTTCCAGAATTCTGCAACAATATGAATTAGTTAGCGCATGTTAATTATGAAAATTAACCAAATGAAAAAAAGGTATATTAATTTAAATTGATATCGCACGTTAATTTATATATATATTATATTATAAAAAAAAAAAAAAAAAAAAAAAATTCAGTCTCATCCAAATGTAAGTGGGAACAAGAGTCGTGGAGCATGCATGAGTATCACATCGTAATGGACCCCTACCAATTTTGGATGAGATGAGCTCTGTAAAAAGTAATTCTAACAATTTTGATTTATAATTAAAATTTCTATTGGATCTTTGGATTTCCTTCTTGGAATTTTTTTCCTCTGTTTGGTGGCGTGGGGCCCAATCTACGTGATGGCTATTATACTTTGAAGTTCATTGGCCCAATTGATGTGGTGGCTCTCCTCAATGAGTCTATAACTTATCGTTTTATATTTATGGACTATATAAATTATATTATATGAGATATGCTAACCGGGCGAGCCTATGTTTAATGCTAATTTAATAATAATGAAATTTATGTTATGAAATATAATATAAGATTTATATTGTACTCTAAAGTATGATAATTGAGCTTTTAGTTATGTAATTAATGTGTTGGAAAGTATGGATAAATAGTATTGATACATTGAATACAATCCTAGGGGTTGAGAGGGAAAGTCTATCTCAAATGAAATCAAAATTACAAAGTT